CGTTTCCCTTCTGTACCCAATAAATAGAGGAAGAAAAAACAAGAAAAGTCACGAGTTTTGTACGCGACGCAAAATCCACGGAGTTTTTCCTTGTCTGATCGAGTGATTAACACAGATTAACCCTTGACAAGCGAAGCTTAACATCAACGCCAAACGAATCGGCTTGCAGAAAAAGAAAGAGGAAAAGAATTTGAGTCCATCCAAAATGGATCGGCCTCGTGACATCTCCATAAACCGACCATCAACCCTACGAAAAGTGACTGAATTAAACAAAAGATATACTGCTCCCAGATCAGACAAAGCCTTCAAGAAGAAATCGTCGTACATGCGCCAATGTTAATGAATCCAACCATTGGTCGAACATGGGATTTCATCCCAGGAGCCAAGCTTCGAGCCAACACCTTCAATAAGACCACGATGCTCGCACATTGACATTATTGCCTGATTTAGCTGGAAGATCGTGGGTTTTCACCTGGAATACACGTATACTTATCGTCCAATCCAACCCTGCAAGCAACCTCACCACTGACCGACGATGTTTTGCTAGCGAGACCCTGGTGCTGAAAGAGAGCCTAAAGTCCACCCACATCTCTAGAGAAGATGTCGAATTGAAGTTAAGGACCACCGTCCTGCATCCGGACACTGCTGCACCAACTTCGATCGTCCTTCTTGGGAGAAAGAGGGATGCTCGCTAGATTGTTGTCACTAGGGGTTTTCAAATGTGCGAGCCGTTGGGTGTACGGGATGGCGACCAAGAGCCCGCAGTGGTGCGTGCGACGGGCGACTCCTCGCCACCAGAGTGGACTCTACTCCACCACGGCACGGGGTCCCCTCAGGTGAGCGGTGCGGCTGGCCGCGCTGGGTCGCTGGTAGCGGGTGCAGGGGCCCAGCACAACCGTTTCTGAGCTCTGGAGGTGGAGGACTCGGAGGATGACGACTCGGGAGTGGAGGCGGATCTGCTGCTGCGTGCGTGCCGGCAGGGCCGTCGGTCGGCGACTTTGTGGCGTTCGCGGCAAAGGCGCGCGGTCTGTTTGCGGGGAAAGAGCACCGCTTCGTGCCGGGCGGCCATGGCTACAGAGCCATGGCCTCGCGCATCTGGCAGAAATCGACGGTGGTGCGCTCCTGCTCGAGCTCGGGAGACGCGTCGGGGGCGGCTAGGAACATCAGATCCAAGACGGCGGCGAGCCTGGTGGCAGCGGGCGAGGCAGAGCCGACTAGGAAGGATTGGCCATGCCTGCTTGTTCCACCTTCCCCTGTGGCGCCGGCGTCGGCGCCGTGCTGTCGCGAGGCGTCGCTGTCCCCTCCAGTGCCTAGGGTTGGCCCGGTTGGGCCGGAAGCTATCACTGGTCCTGGGCTGGTGTGTTCACATAGGCCCGTGACGGTTCAGTCCGTTGGCGTGGGACTGGACACGGCCCTCATGACGTCTCCCCCCGTGACTCGGCCTGCTACTTGACGGGGTATAAATGGATGCGGCGGGGTTGCCTGGATCCCCATTTAGGGTTTCCAGCCACTTCCAAAGAGGTGCGGCGCCTCGCTCACTCCGCCCGCGTCCTCAAGATCTCTCCTCCTCCTCCCTCTCTCCTGAAATCCTTCGCGGCCGCGATGATGGGTGACCGGCGGGCTGACAAGTGGCCCATGGAGATCTTCGACCATGAGGCGGACAGGCGCAGGGAGTGAGATCTGCAAGACAAGGCGAAGCGTGCGATGCGGGAGTGCTCAGGTGGCCGCGAGGCCCGGGAGGAGCGCGGTGGATCTCGTGACCAGGGCGGGCGCGAGGGGGGTTGGGGTCCTCCTCCCCCGTGGTGGATCCAACTCCAAGAATGCAAGAATAAGAATAAGGCCAATCAACTGCGGCGCGAGCTTGAGCGAAAGCCAATGGCGCATCCAAACTATGGTGGGGGCCATGATGACCCGCTGGCCAAGAAGCCTCGGGCGCTCGTGGATCCGCTGGCGATGGCGCTTCCCTCTTCGTCCAAGGGCACGACGGAGGAGCCCATGCCGGTGGAAGAGGTTCCCGACATCTAGTGTTTCAAGTGTGGTCACCTGGGTCACTTTCAATCCAAGTGCAAGTACAAACCTCTCTGCATGCTTTGTAAGGAAGAGGGTCACGCTTCCGCCCATTGCCGGTCGCGAGGCCGTCAACTGAACTTGCAGATCATGGGCAGCACCATCTCAGGCGAGGGTTTCTTCTGTCTGGAGTTTGACGAGGATACCGAGGCTGACCTACCCGTGGATGCTAGAATCGAGAATGTGGCTATCCTTGCTACTGAGTCTGGAAAGCTCAATCTACGCATCCTCAAGCAAGAGATGCAACACATGGTGACCGGGGACTGGGATTGGCAAGTGACTCAGGTTGGTGACAATGACTTCTTGTTGGTTTTTCCATCCGCAGATCTGTTGCACATGGCTAAGTCTAGTGGGAAGCTGTTCTTGTCCATCAATGACATCACTGCTACGGTGCGGGATATGCTTCACGAGGAAGTTCAGCCGATGGCCATGCCCAAGACGTGGGTGCGGCGGCACGGCATACCTAAGAAGTACAGGCGCGAGGACCGCATCAAGGAAGGGTTCCGGATGTTAGGTCGTCCAATTGTGGTGGACGAGTTGTCCCTCATCAGGTTGGGGCCGGTGGGGATGAAGATTGCGTGCAAGGCTCCGGAGAAGCTTAACAAGTTTGTGGAAGTGTGGTTCAATCCCGAGGGATATCAAATCAAGGTGGAGCTTGAGGTGCTTCCCAAGCGCGGTGGCGAGCGGGTGGTTCTTGTCGCTGGGCCTTCCTACCCTCCGCCCAAGGATTCTGACTTCGCGGGGGGTGCTTGGCCATCAGGCAGCTCGCGGCCTGGTGGTGCTGAGCCAGGCAACACCCATCAGGGTGCTGGCACGGCGCCCAACGTGGCCATGGATCCGGATGCCAAGATGCAGGACTTAGGAGAGGAGCTTGAGGATAGCCTATAGGACACGTCAATTGACACTGAGACGTGGGATAAGCTGGGTGCCCTGTCGGCCGATGCTGGGGCCATGGGGATGGCGACCTAGGACACGACGATGAGTGTGCCGCCGATGGCCCGCTCCCTCGCGCTGACCTTTGATGAGTACGGGTCCAACCTCTCAGCCCAGACCCCGGAGGGAGCCGGGCCTCTCAAGGTGGTTGGTGCCACTTCTGCTGCTATCCTGACGTCCTCTTATCCTGTGGCGATGGGGACGGACTCAAGGTGTGTGGTGGATGTTGACTGCGACATGGCAAGAGCGAGCAAGCATGGCTCCAGCAGCGCTGGTCGCCAGGCCAAGAAGACGGCAGGCAAAAAGCCGGCCAACAAGCATGCTCAGTCAAATTCGGCGGCGACGGCGACGCTTGGAGGGAGCTAGGGGCGGCGTTGGGAGCGGCCGGGGTGGGCAGCAAGGCCAGACGCTCCAAGGCGACGTCGGTGGTGCAGCGGGGTCCCAGCATGCGGGCCAAGGCCAAGCTGGGAGAACTGTCGTCCTTGGAGAGCGCCAAGCTACGTCCCGCCGACAAGAAGCTGGAATTGTCAGGTTTGGGCGTCGTTGGGAAAACAGCGTGATGAGGACCGCATGAAGGAGATTATGGAGCAGATCAAGCTGTGCATGGTGAAATCGAGACAAGAAGGACAACGAGCTTGAGTCTTTTGCATTCAGTTATATGTTTTGCTCCGCTTTTGTGAAACTTTAGCTATTTGGTAACCTACCTTTGCCGGGACGTCGAGCCCGCGGAACCTTTGTTTCTTCGGTTTGTAAGCTTGAAAACCTTGTGTGGATGCTGCCTTGGGGCTTTATTAATTTAAAGCCGGACGCTTCGTGCATCTTCGTTTCAAGAAAAAAAGAAAAAGAAAGATGGATGCTTTGACATAAGCTAATCTTCAGATCTGGCTGCCATTGCAATCACCTCACAGATCACCGTCGTTGCAGACTTGCAGTTGCAGACACCTGGTGGATCTGCCCACCACGTCTCGGAGATTTCTACCTGACATCCTCCACCATAGAGCCCATAGACAACATCATGCCCCCGAGCATTATATTAGCCCCGAGCATTATGAATTATTGTTCATCCATTAGTGGGTTGAATCATCGTACTCGATCAACCCGGCGCCATACGTTATGCATTAGTGTTCATCCATCAGTAATTGAATCATCGTACTCAATCAACTATGCGCCAAGCATTCTTTATTAGTGGTCATCAGTTAGTCGGTTGAATCATCGTACTCGGTCAACCCTGTGCCATGCATTCGCATTATTGTTCATCCATCAGTGGGTTAAATCATCGTACTGGATCAACAGCCGGCAGCGTGCATTCTGCATTATTGTTCATCCACCAGTTGGAAGACCAGCCACTAGTATTAATTTGCGTATCAAAAGGGCATAGTTACGCAAGTCCAGCGAACATCTTGTCTTATAATTAGGCCAAACACAAGCCCGCCTTCTGCTCGTAGTAAAGAAACAAGAAATGGCTTCTACCACCAACAATGGCGGGTCCTGCTCATCCCCTTCTTCGCGACTAGCCACATCGAGCCGTTCGCCGAGCTTGCCATTTGCCTCGTTGCATCTAGGCCAAACGCCGTTGTGAGACCAACCATCACAGTCACGCCGGCGAATGTCTCCGTCGTCCAGTCCGTACGTGATGGAGCGACGACTACGTGGGCATAATCCAGCAGCTATCAAGATAGTTATTTATCCATTCTCAATCGTGGCGGCCTCGCGAAGGGTGTCGAGAACCTTCAAAAGGCATCCATGCCAGCTGATTCATTGCACATCAACCTCGCTGCCCTAAGCGATGATCTGATGCGCCCGCCGCGCGCAGGAGACGCTCCGCTAAAGAGCTCGGTGTTCCATGTGTCGTGTTCAAATGTCATGGGCGCCTTCCCCATGCTCGCCGTACGCCACTTTATCATGGACGATGTTGCCATCGGTTTCCGGTCCCTCATACACGGATCCCGAGGACCGAGCTGCCGGACATCTTGAGGAGTCGAAACTATGACGCCGGCAACATGGTTCATTCGATGCAAGCTGACTGCTTTGGCATCGCCATCAACACATTTTTAGGCCTCGAGCAGCAGTACTGTGAGATGTACGTGCGCGAAGGGTACGTGAAGCGCGCATACTTTCTAGGGCCTCTCTCGCTGCAACTGCAACCATCACAGGCCGCCAAAGGTGTTGCCGACTCACGGTTCATCAATTGGCTTGGCACAAAGCCTAACCATTCGGTGGTCTACTTGTCCTTCGGCACATGTGCCCACATATCGGGTGCACAGCTAGACGAGCTTGCTCTTGGGCTGGAGGCCTCAAGACGGTCGTTCATGTGGGTGGTCAGGGCGGCCGACAAGTGGGCTCCACCAAAAGGGTGGGAGAAGCGTGTTGAAGACCGGGGGCACATCGTCAGAGTGTGGGCTCCACAAAAGGTTATAGTATACTAGCGCACTCGGCAGTGGGTGCATTCATGACGCAGTGCGGGTGGAACTCTGTCCTAGAGGCAGTGGCTGCTGGCGTGCCGATGCTCACGTGGCCAAAGGTCTACGAGCAGTTCATCACGGAGGTATTAGGGATCGGTGAGCGGCTCTGGCCGCATGGAGCCGGCTTACGAAGTGAGAATTACCGAAAACATGAGGTAATCCCGGCCGATGATGTGGCACGTGCATTGATCACATTCATGAGTCCGGGAGGACCAGGGGACATGGCGAGGAACAAGGTAATGGACCTTGCATCCAGGTCTCATGCAGCCATATGGCAGAAGACACCGTGATTTGCACCGTCTGGTTGATGATCTCATGGCAGCAAGAGGAGCCAATGGATCTCACACCAATGCATCTCGCCTCTAAGTACTTGCTTGTCACGATCTCCATCATTATCGATGTTATTTTTTTATGTTGCTTTCATTTTATTCCCTTTTTCGCAGTTGGAATCCTGGACGTATATGTTATTCATGCACGTAACACTTGCTTTATTATTTTTTCTTTGCGCCAAGAAATAAGGCGTACTTGGCAGCACTCGTTCAAGTGAACCCGTAGCTCCCCGCTGAGAACCATATGATCTACGGGTCTGTCCGCGAGATGCTGGTCCGCCTCATTGAGATGTTTCTTGATGAGCTAGGCAAGAAAGATGCGCCACCTGAGGAGAGCGATGACCTGTTGCCATTGAGTCCGTCGACCGCTAGTGCCGATGACAATGGCTCCTCCGCTTGGAGGGTGGGCGCTTAGAGATCCCCACCCGCCCCGACTCCACAATTACCAGCTTCACGGATTACCACTTGGAGTAGAGCTTCATTCACAGAGTTGTCTAGCTAGATAGTTTGATGTCCATGTAGGGATGAAATTATGTAGCTGGTGAGGTCGACACGAATGACAATTTTTGATGCTTTTGGGTATATGAATCATGACTGCTTATGTTGCTTAAGTTTTTCTCAATCCTTGCACATACTTGAAATCCTGTTGTTCTTCCATTGTTGATGAAGTGGTAAGTGGTGTAGTCAGGTAGATATCCGTTACAAAGAGAGTTGCTGCAAAGTGTTCAATACCAAGTAGGAGGTAGAGGATGATTACTCCAAGTATGTGCTCAAAGAGAAGAGAAATCATGAAGTAGGCAAGGGTGCTTATGTTGGAAATATGAGCAATTTACCGAATGATTTTATTAACAGAAATACTAGATAAAGCATGACTAGTATAGCAGTGATAAAACAAGTCATGCGATTTGACAAACAGAAGGTAAATAATATCTGCATATATGAGGTAGAACCGATCATCTCTAGAGCAGACAGTAGATCAAGATGCATATATGAGGTAAATCCTAACATGTCTAGGGCAAACACTAGAAGAAGCAACTGTGACAGGACCTCTAACAGGATAAACAAGAACACGTACGAGACAGCAGCCGAAGCAGAGGCACTGGACTTGGGGTCGGTGTCCTCCATGTCGTCGAGGAGGTTGTTGACGTCGGGGAAGTAGTCATCGTTGGGGAAGTAGTCGTCGGAGTCCGTGGCGTCTGTGACGAAGGAGTCAGTAGTCGCGCAGAGCGCTCCCCAAAAACCTTATCACCCTTCTCCCGTACAGGATTCAAAGAGGTGCGGTTTCGGAGGCCTACTGTCCCGTCCTGCGGTGCACGCCGCAAGCCGGGATGGGGAAGATCGTAGCAGCAGCGCAGTGTTCAGGAACCGGTGGCGAGAGGAGGAAGTAGTTCTGGTGCGTCTCTCTGAGAGGAGCGACCTCCCTTTTATATGCGCAAGAGAAGGAGGCGAGAGGTTGTGCTGAAGAGAACGCGGGAGACGAAACAAACAGGCAGCAGCCGAAGAGGCGCGCCGTTCGGATTCAGTGTCCGGAGACAGAAAAAATGTTTCAGCTTCCGAGTGACCTTTCGTATACCCGTAGTGCGTGGCAAAAATTTAGACATCGGCTCGGCTCATTCCCGCGCGGCGCAGCGCGGCGCGGCGTGCCTAGGCGGGCGGCGGAGGAGGAGCGCACGTGGATGTCCCTCTTGTTCTCATGCTCATACAAGTGGGGAAAGAGCCTCCCTTATAAAGAGGTCCAACTCCCTCTAAACTAGCAATGTGGGACTAAACTTTAGTTTCACCTCTTGTCCTTCACTAATGGGCTGCGTGGGCCTCTAGGATTTATTAGGACCTTCTGAAACTGCTATTGGGCTAGGCCAAAAAATAGACAAAATTCCAGCAGCTTATTAGATCAGGTGGAGTAAGCTGAAGAACTTGATAATCTTCGTCCCGTTCGTCCAAATTTTGGTGTTGCATTTATCATCTGATCATATGTAACATAAGTTGGTCACATTTGGGGTTCAGTGAGTACTTGTCACTTGTTATGATGCTTGTGTGGACCACATATGATGCTTTGGTGAGCTTATGATGAATGTATGCGATTTTCCTATGATATGGTGCTATTTGTGATATGCGGGCAGTGATATAATTGCTATATGTGTTTTGCTCAGGGCTATGAAAAAACAAATTAAAAAAAACAGCTGGCAGAAGCTTTGCCGAGTACTGCACTCCGCAAAAGGACGTTGCCGAGAACCAAGCTCGGCAAAGGTGCCACGCGTCGGGCTCTGGTTACTCAGTCGGCTTTCCCGAGTGGGAAATAAAGGATCTCAGGCTCTCAGCAAAGCAGGGGGCGCTCGGCAAAATGACATTTGCCTGAAGGGTTCAGGCTAAATATGCTTAGCCGAGATCTGAACTCTGCAAACTCCGAAAATTTTCACATCCAAACTTGAAATGTACATTGAGAAACAAAAAAGACAAATTCAGATGTGAATAGTGTCAAATGTTGCTTTTGTCTTTTTATGACACTATTCATGCTAGATTTCACATTTTCGTTTCTCAATTTTCATTTAGAGTTTAGATCTGAGTTTTTAGGACTTGTAGTTACATTTCTTGTGAACATTCATAATTTTTTTAACTTTTTTGAAACATTTAAAATTGTTTTTTTTGAAGTTGGAGTATGGGGATCACCCCAAGGATGGGAGCACCTGATATTTTCCAAGACGAGCCGTCATCGACATCATTTGCTGTCTACCTCCGAGAAATACCAGCCGCGCTTGTGTTTGCAGGTGCAGCTCCGATGCTTTCTTCACTGACCCGTACTGCAGCCGTGTGCTATCTCCGTTGTCCAGCGCCTTGACGAGATATACCTGCGTGATCCGAAGATTTCAATCCAATAATATGCAACAGGTTCTACTTCAATGGGAGCTGCAGCGTGACGACGAGTGTGAAGCCACAGTTTGTTATGCGCTGTGAAAAGAGAGTGAATCGATGCACGTACCAGCCATTCAGACACTGAGGTTATGACTGACTCCTTCCCGACGAATATCTTGAGTACTGGTCCAATCAACCATCAAACAGACCAACAAACTAATCACGCTCCAACTGAGACACCAATAAACCAAGAGTGTGGCTAGACCATAGTCGACTGAGATTTAACTAAGTCTCAGTCAAGTGACATAATATGTAAAAGATAAAAAAACTGAAAAGAATTTTTTTCATGGATCTTAATGTAAGATCGCACGGATATAGCATCGACTGAGACTTATCAAGGCTGATAAACCAATGGCGGATCCATGGCTCCAAGACTACGCCCTCAAGAGGGAAACGACATCCGACGTCGTCGTCGTCCAATCCAAAGAAGAATCTTAGGCCTTCACCCAAAGCCTCGCATCTCAGACATCATCAGCGCATGCTGGTTGCTTGGTCCAGCTAGCACATGAGCACAAAAGCATCTTCATTGGGTCCCAAAGGAGGCTCCCCATAGACGTTGCCGCTCACCTCGAGCACCGACACTAAAGGAGGGGGATCGATCCATTCCGCTGCACCGGCATTACGGACCTCCATCCCGCCAGTCCTTGGGCTCCACGTCGCCGACAAA